GTGTGAGGCTGGGCGGAGACGGCGGTGAGGGGAGGGGTGGACTGCAGGCGGCGGCCGCGGGGTGGCGGGCGCCGGTGCATGATCGTGCTGGCGTGCCGGCCGACGGCCTCATTTTCACATGCGCGCAAGTACCGCTGCCCGCCGCCCGCGCGGGGCGCTCGGAAACGCAGGGCCGCGGCGGCGGCGGCCTTGCACGCGCGCACACCTGCGCGCGCTCGGGGGTGCACTGAGATGTGGCCTCTGTGGCTTGCTGTATGTCGGCCTCCCGTTCCAAATCGAGCAGCAGACCCGTCCGCTGCACAAACTCCTCCAGCGTCGGCCGCGCCTTTGCCAGCGCGCTCCTGTCCGCGGCCCCGAACCCGGCCGCGCGCGCGACTGCGGCGCCGGGCGCGTCGGCGCGGCGGGGGGCGGCGGCGGCGGCCGCGAGGTGCGGCGCGGCGTCGATGCGCAAGTGGCGCTGCAGCAAGGCGCAGAGCTCCTCATCCGAGATCGCGCTGCCGCCGTCGTTGCCGTCGCCGCTGCTGCTGCGATCGTGTGCGTTTGTGCTAGGGGACGGCTCCGGGACCTCGATTGAGGTGGGAGCGCCCTCGGGGCCGAGGGATATGCGCCGCGCGCCGCCCTCGCCGGCCGACGCGTGCGGCAGGCCATAAGCTTCCGCGGCCGAGTGCAGCGCGGCGCGCTGGCGCGGCGTCAGGGACGCGGGGAAGGTGACGCGCACGTCGGTGGCTGCCAATGTTGGCTCGGTAGCGGCGGCGTTGGCGACAGCAGCTGCTGCCGGGGTGCCATCCTTGGACGCCTTGCCGCCGCGAGCCCCGGCAGCGGCAGCTTTCTGCAGAATGTATGGGTGTTAGGGTGCATTCTTGGTAATTGACACCACATTGGGCCGAAAGGCATTGGATCGTCATGAACTCAAGCTCACCTTGGCTGCTGCAAGCTTCTTAACTCTATCAGACGGCATCCTGCAATCTTCCACTATCTATATTGTTTTGTTTTTGATCCGTTTGCTCTGTTTTGGTGTGATCTGTGACAGGTCACTCGTCGCACTCGATCGCCTTCATGCAGCCCCTGGGATGCCACCTGCTCCAGAGCTTGAGAGTAGGACGAAAGTGCCATGCGTGGCAGCTTGGTGTGGCGTCCGTGGCTGCTTGTGATGGCGTTGTGGAGAGCAGCAGCTCGTGCAGCAGCAGTGGCAGAGGTGCTGCTGCTGCCAGGGGCCTGCTGTCACAATGGCGGAGCAGCTTTACAATGGCGTCCCCCACTAAGCTGGAAGAGGTGAATTTGTGAGACAAACATGAGTGCAGAGCATGCACTCGCCGGCGTGCGCTCACACATCCGAGCTGGCTGGAGGACCCTCCCATTGCACAACCGCTCCAACCGCCCGGCGCCCCTCAGGTGATGCACCTAGATCAGCTGAAGGACCGCACCCCCAATGAAATAGAGCAGATCTGGCTCGAGGTGCGGGCCCCCATCACGTTTGCCGGAGCCGCTCGCTGGCAAACAGCAGCTGCGCTGTTTCAATGCACCGCTTTACCCCATTGACTCGAAGCGCAGCAGCAGTCGCTTGTCAGCATTTCGTTCACGCGCGCCGTATTAGTCGGCCTGCAGGCCCACGTCGTCGGACCCAGCCCTGCTGTGTCATCGCCACACATGTCTTCCGGACCTACTCTTTGCTCGTGTGCTCGTGTGCTCGTGTGCTCGTGCGCGCATGCGGATGCGTGAGCGCACACACAAATACGCGCACGCGCCCCAAACACACCACCTGCAGTTCCACCAGGACCCAAATCAGCGGCGGGTCGCTGATGTCATGACAGCTGATGAGTACAAGCAGCTCCAGGTGAGCATATGGGGGCGGGCGGGTGCTGCTGCAGGTCTCAAACCAGGGTTGGCAGGCGGCAGGGATGAGCCAGGCCCAGCTAGCTGCAGCAGGCGTGCAAGGGCCCTTGCACAACAGCCACGCGTCAAAGGTGGCCGATCAATCGCACACATCAGACGCTTGCCGGATGCGTCGTTGAAGCGATTGCTGGTCTCGGCACCCTGCGGCCGCGGCATAGGGGCATCCTCACTCGAGCTTGTCCCAGTTGCACGCTCGAGGTACCCTCGCCCCTCGCCCCTGCGAATATTTGCCCTGCCCCAGGCACGCGCGCGCTCGAGCCCGATGTTTGTTCTGCCACTGTCCAAGCCTGGAGGCTTCCTGTCGCTGCTGCTCAACTACCAGTGCCCCCTGGCCCTGCTGACCTCGGTAGGCGGGCGAGCGTCAATGCGCCTGATGCTCTCCCTTGACTGATTCGGCGCAGTCACTAAGGCGGTCGCTGGCCCGTTGACAGGGGCAGGGCGGACGCCCAGCGCGCGCCGCAGCTGGGGCTTGGTACTCCACGTTGTCCCTTTGGGGCGTCTCAGCGCTTTGGATGTTTGACGATTCTTTGTATACGTCAAACCAATTCCCGCTTGTTTATTTCTTGCCGAGTCAGCGGTCGCGTGCGTCTCAACTTGCTGCCGGCCCCAGGTCGAGGAGTACCGGCGGTTTGGCGCAGGGGCGCCGCCCCACATGACCATCACTCACTATACAGAGCTGGCCGAGTCCAAGGGCCTGGTGCTGACGCGCGGTGACATCATCAACGACGCGGTGGTCAGCCTGTCTGAGGTGCGGGTGGCCCCGTGTCCGCAGGGGCCAGAGCGGGGGAGCCGCAGCAGGCCCGACCGCCAGAAAATTACAGCAGGCGCACATGGGCCCCCTGCAACAGGGGCCGCACCCTCACACCCTTGTTGTGGGCGCCGCAGCATCATTGGTCCCCTATGTTATGCTGCGCTTTTCTGCCGCAGGCGCGGACGCTGCTGCAGCTCGCGCGGGCCTTCTACACAGGTGCGTGCTGGCGGCCAATCCCGCACACAGAGTCCGTCGCCCCGCAGCTGCCCTTTGCGGTGCATGCGCCTGCCACCCTCCTGCATCCTGTGGTACCTGCTCGTTAGCTCTCTGCTGCATGCGCTGATTCCAGCTAGCCCCGCAAAGCCCTGTGCCCACGCTCGGCTGCATGCACTTCCGAACTGCGCTTGCAAACGCCCCCCACGCACCACACGTCACTGCACGCCGCCTCTCACCAGAGCCAGAGGCGCACCGGCTGGTTTACCAGTTTAATCACCAGCCAGACAAGTTCAGCTTCGACGCGCTGCTGGCTGAGCTGGGCCACAAGGCGGGCGCCGCGGCCAGCCCCAGCGGCAGCGGCGGCGGCAGCGGCAGTAGCGGCGGCAGCAGAGGCGGCAGCAGCAGCGGCAAGGCGGACGCTTGAAATTGCACCCCGCGTGCGTTGCTGTTTTGGTGTGCACTGTGGTTGGTTTGGGTTGTTGTTGGTCTTTGTATCTTGAGGGAAAGCAACTGTGGTGTTTGCCGGTGTGTTGAGGACCTCAAATCCTGTATGGTAATGATTGTACCCCCCTTTGAACCAGGCCAAGGGGGGACCGTTTCTTACAGGGAGGGGACCGCTTTCTACATGCACGGCCGCTCCCCCTCCATACACACACACACACATACATTATCTGCTTCAGCCTCCGGCCTCGCGCTGCACCTCCCTCAGAACCCCCTCGATGCCGCTCTGCCCCCTCTTAAGCGCATCCCTGAGGGCGTCCCTGTGGTGCGCCTCCACGAGGTCCCTCACGTCCGCCCCCCGTGACTTAAAGTAGTAATCCTGGTCCTCAAACAGCCCGCGGTACACCTCCAGGGTGTACACCCAGTACAGCAGTCTGCAAAACCGTACCGCAGTCAAACGGCAGCAGGACGGCGAGCAAGAGGGAGGGCTTTGGGTTGGGTGGGTGGGGGTAGGCGCAATCAGGCGCCTGCATGCGTTGGCCTTGCGGGTGCCGAGAGGGTGTGTGGAGACGCCAAGGCACCATGTCAGCTGCCCGTGGCAGCAGAAGTTACGCGGCATTGAACTCAAAAGTCCACGCCGGTCTCTTGGTGCTGCCCCCCAAACCATTGCTGCCCTGCAACCTCTGCATGCACGGCAGCCGCGCCGGCGGACCCTAGCGCTTCCCCTCTCTCAGCTGCGAGCCCTAGTCCTGGTGTGCTTGCCTGCTATAATATGTGGTGTAGGCCATCGCAAATCTGTTGGCGGCGTCGACGATGTTCCGCACCTCCCCCTCGTGCGCCTCGGCCCACGCCAGCTGGTCCAAGACGTCAGATCGGTTCGTGTCGAGGATCGGTAGAAAGTGCTCCCTTGGACGAACGCTGCGGTAGAACCACTCGAGGTGGCGGGACTTCTGCTTGAGGACGAGGCTGTTTGTGCCCAGCAGCATGGCGAAGCGGTACGCGGCGGAGTGGCCGTCCAGGTTTAGGAGGTACTGCGGCGTCGGCAGCGTGGATGGTTCAGGTGGAGGGTGGATTTGTGCAGGTTGCATGCGTAACTGGGCGGGCACGCGTCTAGTTGAGCCAGTTACAGGCCTGGTGGAAAAGTGCACCTGCAACAGGTGCGCGGTTTCGGGCAGGCATGGGCTGAATTGTTTTTCAACATCTCGTTCGATGGCTCTACAGTACAAGGTGTAAAATGTTGGTGCCGGCCGCACCAACGCTCCCTCCCCCATTTCACAGCTCCAATGCAGACCTTGAAATGCGTCAAGTTGTCTCGCGGGACATGCTGCAGCACCGGCAACGGGCCCCTCCCATCCTTCATTGTTTTATCATTTGCAGCATCTTCGCTCGAGATCTCCTCAACCATGCCTGGACGGGGGAGAATTGTCGTAGCGTACTGCTGAGGCACTCTCAACAACGACGACGGCGGGGTGCTCGGCAAACAGCACGCATAGCGTCGCAATTCATCCTGCATGACGACTCCATGTGTGTGGACGTGTTGCGTCATTTTGGGCGCATCATTATAATGGGTGAATGTCACCCACACACACCCTCTCGGGGTTGGTGACATGTCAAAGCTTGAGCCGCACACACTGGATTCACTCCTGCAAGGTGCGCTGTGATCACTGAACTTACTCACCCGCGTCAAACAGCTCTGGCCGCAGCTGCGCCAGCCGCGCCACCCAAATCCGCGCGCACGCCGGCTCGAAGAACAGCTCCCCGCAGCTTGGGACGCCCCTGAAGAACGCCTTGGCCTGCTTTGCCCCCCATGGTGCGTGCCGCCACGTCACGTTTGCGTCTGGCCGCAGCATCATGGGCGCCAAAAGATTTGTGGCCAGGGCGAGGCTGCTGAGGCCAATCGCAGGGGCCGCGCACTCGCGCTCGAGGCCGGGCGGTGCCTGAGCCTTCCCAGAATCGGGCGAGCGCATGCAGAGTGCGCCGCTGTCAATCACTGCCAGTGCGTTGAGGGCGCAGGCAGGGTCAGGACTCATAAAATGAGAAATCTTGAGCATGCAGGCTACACCTGCATTGACCAGCAAGAGCCAGTAAGGCAGAGGCAGCTGCCAGCACTACTGCAACATCGAATACTACGACTTCCAGATGCCCTCGTTGTCACGTAGCATCGCACATGAACCAATCAAGTGTGATTTGCGGCTGCCTTCAGCTTACCGTTGAGGTTAAACACCACATTGGGTAGCTTGAGTCCGTACACGCGCACCGCCGCATGCATGGCTTCTAGCCACGCTGACAGCTGGGGGTTGCAGGTGTGATCACTGATGAGGTGGGGGCAGGTGATCAGGGATGGTCGCCACACTTGCTCGCGCAATGTACGCGGCTGCAACATTACGGCGGCACCCCCGATACCAGCAGTCTTCCGAGGCCGCGTACACCTCAGCAGCACCCTCCTTGCAGCCGCAGCCCTTCAACACAACAAGAATCGATGAGGCTCATAGGCTCACACCCTCAAACCTGCTCTGTCACCCTGCGAGGCCTGCCCCTCCCCCGGCGCGACGCGCGCACCAATCAAACTGCTGGACGCCGGGCGGCATCAGGGGGAACATGACCTTGTTGTTGTGTATCACCACCAGGCGCCGCGTGTCTGACTGGCGGTACAGGTCAGCGTGCACGGCCGCATCAAACAGGTCGCGCACCCTGGGGCGGCGGCGGACCTGGGCGGGATGCGGGCGAGGCAGACCAAGACTGTTGTATATGAGACTAATCGCGTTCCAAGCGGGCGCTGGGCCCTCCGGAGTCGCATGCATCTCATACTGGAGATGTTACTTTTGATCAGGTCTCAAGCGGGTTCCTCGAGGGGTTTCTCGTTTTACCCTTTGCGCTTTCAACCCTGACGATCACCTGCCTGCCGGTGGTCGTCACAGGCCCTCCTCTGGCAGGGTGATGCAAGCCGTGGCTGTCTTATCTGAGCTTTGGCAGTGACTGGCAGCGACAATCAAACCGCCGCCCACCTCGTCCCGCCAGAACCTTGCAGTAGGTGCCAGGTTGTCCGCTAAGACGCGCGTCAGGTTGACCTGGATGGGCAGGGGATGGGTGGACGGGGCCTTTACGCCGCACACAGGACAAGCGACTGTGCTGGCGCCTGGTGGTGTGGGGTCAGCGATTGTGGTCAGCTGCAAAAGAAGCGCGGCAACTGAGTCAATGTCCGGGCTATGCCCTGGCAGCCAGGCGTGGAGCGCAATGGCTGATGGTGCATCAGTCGCGACGCCAACATCTCTCGAGTGCGGCTACTCACGAGGTCCCAAGGGGCAGGCAGGCTCATGTTGAGGTCTTTGGAGAATGTCACTGTGCCATTGGCTCTGCGCATGATGAGCTGCTTGTATGCATTGCCTGCGCGTGTGATTATTATTTTGCATGTGTGCTGCGGGGAAGGGGGGCGCGACCAGAGTGCGCTTGCTTTGCTATGCACACGTGGAGGTCTGAATCAACTGGGCTGCTAAGTATTCTGCCCGACTGGAAACAAGCACACTTGATGGTACACATGACTCACTGCTTGCTGTTGTGAGCATCACCTGGGGGCAGGTTGTCTCCGTGGCTGGCAGCCGCGCCGATGTCGCCAGCGATGCTGCCGCCCCCGCCGCTGACACTGGCGCTGCCCCCGACACCAACAGCGGCACTGCGACCGCGACTGACACCGGCAGCGTGGCTGTCTCGCATCCCACTCGCCGTATGTAACAAGGATGGTCCAAAAGGGATGAAGAGCTTATCTGACATGTAGGGTGACCAGTGGTGGCGGTGGTGCCTGCGGGGCTCAGCTGCAGCCCCAGCCAGGAGTACAGCAGCACTGGCCAGGACAAGTAGCAGCACTGCTGCGCCTGGTCGCCGCTGTTCCTGCCGCCACGACATAGAGTCGTGCCTGGATGGATCGATGTACATCATATGAATACATTCATGAAGAATCAGCGACGCTCGTTGTATTGATAAAGACCGCGAATCCCAGCAAAAGCCGTGCTGCAGCGGTTGCTGCGATACAATGGTAAACGTGTACGGCCGTACATGTTAACACACTGAGAGCTGCTTAGACATATTCGCATGCACTCCGTGCGTGGTTGGCCTGGTGGAATTTTGAGGTCAGCTGCAGGCTGTCGCCAGCGGGGGTCGCGCACATCCCCGATACCACATCGATGGCCGACGTACCGCATGTAGCTGCCACTTCTACACAGCTTCATGCAAAAAGATGTTTCAATGCTGGGTTTGGCGCTTGTACTCTCGGGAAGTCCTCATGCATCTTGCAACACAGCACCCGTCTCAGTGTGTCACGCTCTCAGGCCCGCGGCTCCTTGGATCTTGCGGCAGGGCCACCCCTTCCCACAACAGCCACGCACAAAGTCCAGCGACACTGCAGGAAAACTGACCTTCCCATGAGCAGAGTTATGCTTATTAGTGTTGCGTACGAATGATTCTGCTTGTAGCGCACACGAGGGTATGTGGGTATTGCAGGTGGTGAGCCTACGTGCTCTGAGATGCACAGTTATACAACAGCATATCTCAAAATTAAAAGGAAATGCAGGCTGGGGTTGAGATGGGGCCTGTTGCAAATGAGGAGGAGGACTGTTGACTTATTGATGCAGCTGTCGGGCTCGGATACGGTAAAAATGATACTGTGACACAAGAACAGGTGTCCAAGGAGCAAGCAGTTCACACTGTGAGTGGCGCGAGGCGGGCAACAGCATGCAATCTGGGCGCTCGCATGGCGTTGTGCGCTGGTCACAGCACCACGGGCATCACCGATCCCAGGCGTGGCAAATGGTGCTCCTTGTTGACCAGAGTCAGCTGCCTTGGTAGTGTGCCGTTGAATCGAGCCATCGTACATTGACGCAGAGTTTTGTTACAACTGCACACCTACACGTGTCCGAAATCTTAATCAAAGACGATCTCAGAGATCTATTGATCTCAAGCTCGAAAGTCGATTTGGACACAAAAATCATTGCGGTCACTGACAAATCGTGCAAATGGCCTGATGAAACCCTGACCTGACATCAGCAGCTTCAGCACCAGCCACGTGTGGGGCCCGCTTTGCTAGCTCAGGGTCTGTGGCGGCGTGTTGGCGCGCGCGCTGGCCAGCGCGAGCAGAATTGGGGCCACACTGGAGCTGCACCACACATTGGACGTGGCCAATCATCTGGGCGGCCCACTAGCATATCTGCAGGATGGTCAAGGCCGTTGTCGTGGCGGGGACACACAGCGGCGTGGGCAAGACGTCGATCGCCGTCGGGCTGATGGCGGCCCTGCAGGCGAGGGGCCTGGTGGTCGCGCCCTTCAAGGTCGGCCCAGGTGGGACTCAGCCATGGGCGCAACCCATGCGGCAGCGAACCGTCTTGTACTCTATGCCTTCAAAATGCACCCTCGTCCGCCCGCGCAGCCGCGCCTGTGCCTGCCCGCGTCGCCGTTTCCGACCCGGCGGCTGTCGCCCCACGGCGACGCGACCAATGCCCCGCCCTTGCGCAGCCCCTGCAAAGGCCTGACCCGGTCGACCGCCGCCTCCCCTCCCTCGGGACAGCCCATTCCACTGCACCCCACGCCCCACCAGCCCGGCAAAAATCTGCAATCCGCCGTTTCAAAAAGACACCGAGCCCCCAGTGCTCTCACCCGCTCCATGCCGCGGCTCCTTACATGCGATGTTCGTCCGTGTCGGCGCTCCCTGCCCACAACAGATTTTCTGGACGGCCTCCACCACACCGCCGCTACCGGCCGCCCCTCCATCAACCTCGACGGCTTCATGCTGACGCGCGACCAGGCGCTCGCCAGCTTCTCGCGCGCGGCGGCGGGCGCTGACGTGGCGGTGGTTGAGGGCGTCATGGGGCTCTTTGACAGCAGGGACGGCCGGTCGGAGGACGGCAGCACGGCCCAGGTGCGGCGGCGCCGCCCGGCCCCGCGCAGTCCCGCCCATCCGGGCTCTGCGTGGCCTGTCGCGCCACCGCTGGTTGATATCAATGCAGAGTCCAGGGCACCCGCTGGCAGCGGTGCTCTGCTTTCAGCAAATTGGCCTCAGGGTACACCCGCCCCTGCGACCGCTCGGCCGCGAAGCGCGCGGTGCTGGGGCCGCACACTACTGTTCGAAGCCCCGACCCCTGCTTTGTCCCCCGCTGTCCCGCCAGATCGCCAAGTGGCTCGGCGCCCCCGTGCTGCTGGTGTTGGACTGCTGGGCCATGGCGCGCAGCGCGGCCGCCGTGGTCAAGGGATTCGCCGAGTTTGACCCGGACCTGAATCTTGCGGGTGCGTCTGCAGAGGGAGGGGCCCCTGGCGGGTCTTGGGGCAGGGCGCGTGCTGTGACGCAGGGCCGCAGGGCGTGGCGAGGGAGCAGCGAATGCACCTTCTGGCGGGGGGCTCGGTGCATGCTTGCGGCCCCCACGCGTGCCTGAGCCCCCGCCTTGGAAGTAGGTCGTGAGCTGAGTGGGGGAATCGCATCACACACATGCAGGTGTGATCTTCAACAAGGTCGGGGGCGCCGCCCACGCGGCCTGGCTTGAGGAGGCCCTGACAGCGGCCGGGCTGGCGGCGCGGGTGCTGGGCGGCGTGCCAAAGGTGGGGTGGAGGGGCGGTGCGGCGGGGGCATGACCATCGGGAAGCTCTGTGCGACCCTGTAAGGCGCCGCCAGCGAAGCCGCGAAGCGCACATCAAGTGTCGCCAACGCGACGAGCGGACGGCGCCGCGCGACGCATTCTGGGGGGCTGGGGTTGCCCGGATATTAGTAAAGCGGAGTCGCCGCTTCCTCTGGTATGACCGTTCCGTTGCCTTCTCATTCACAATCAAATTCACATCCACATGCTCGCAGGACCCCGCTGTGTCGATACCCGCGCGTCACTTGGGCCTCACCACACCTGCAGAGCAGCGGCCGCAGCACGCCGCTGCCGGCGGCGGCGGCGACGCCCCCAGCCGCGGCTACGCCGTGGGCGACGACGGCGGGTACATTGGGCAGCTGCGCAGGCTGGTCGGGGACAATCTTGATCTGGAAGCCGTGCTGCAGCTGGCCGCTGAGATTCCGGTGGTGCGCGCAGCCGCAGACGCGGCGCTGGCAGTCGGCACGCCTGCCGCAGAGGGATGCACCGCAGGCGGCGGGGCGGACCGGCCCAGGCCGCGCATCGGCGTGGCACTCGATGAGGCGTTCCTTTTCTACTACAGGGTGAGATGCCAGAGCCCCCTTGCCACACAAGCGCGATAGTGCAATGTCTTGTAGAGTGAGACGTCAGGGGCGCCCGGGGCCCTGGTGGGATGCATGTCGCTGGCAAGGGCCCGGCCAAAGGGGAGCCCCCGACAGGTTGAGGCATGCACTTGACAGGTGCATGAGGGCTCCGTGCTTCTGCACTTGTTTCGCATCCCTGTCCTCGCCCGCCCCCCCGCCCCGCGCTGCCCCTTCCCTTCGCATCATGCCTAGACTGCAACACCACCAGAAGAGCCCCCCGACCCCTCCCAAACCCTAAACCCTGAACCCCAACAGGACAACCTGCTGCTACTAGAGGCGGCCGGCGCGGAGCTCGTCACCTTCTCCCCGCTCCGCGACGCCGCGCTGCCGCCCCGACTCTCCGGGCTCTACCTCGGCGGGGGCTACCCCGAGCGCTTCGCAGCCGGGCTGGCGGCGAATGCGGCCATGCGCGCGCAGGTGGCCGCGTTTTCGGGGGCGGGCGGCGTCGTCTACGCAGAGTGCGGCGGGCTCATGTACTTGTCGGCCAGCCTGGAGCCGGGCCCGGGCGCCGCTGAAGGCGCCGGGGCTGGGACCGTCGGCGGCAGGGGCGGGGATGAGGTGGGTGCGTCGGGGTCGCCCTCAGCCGGCAAGAGGCAGGAGGAGGGCAAGCAGCAGCGGCAGCAGCAGCAGCGGCAGCAGCAGCAGCAGCAGCCGGCTGCATACCCCATGGTGGGCGTGTTCCCCTTCCGCACACGCATGGCCGCGGCGCGCGGCATGCGCATGGGCTACTGCGAGGTGCTGCCGCTGCCAGGCTGCCCGCTGTTTTCGGTGGGCGGCGCGGCAGTCAGGGCCCAGATGTTCCACTTTTCAGAAATTGTGGAAGACCATCAGGAGCACAGCAACGGCGACGCCGACAGCAACCCTGGAGGCGGCGGGGCCTGCGGAGGCGGCGGCGGCAGTGGGGGAGGCAGCAGATGCGCGTACACGCGCACGTACCGACTGCAGATGGTGGCGCCCGGCGCGGCGCCGGAGGCCGAGGGGTACTCGGTGCGCCGCACGCTGGCCAGCTACGTCCACATCCATTTCGGGGGCTGCCCGCAGCTGGCGGCCAGCCTGGTGGATAAATGCAGGGAGGTGGACGTGACTTATGTCAGCGCCGCCGTGGCCCGCGCATCGGGGGCGGCAGCAGGGGAGGATAGCCGCGCTGCGTTGGGAGGGGCCGGCAGGGACGCCTGCCCGTACTGCTCTCGGCCGCACGGCCAATCCGAAGCCGGCGCCGCCGGCGAGAAGCCGAGCGAGACCGCGGCGGCGGCGCCTGCTGCCGACGTGGCGCCACAGGGGCCGCAGCATCCGGAGCCGCGGCCTCCGGATCGCGCTGTTCCAGGCCGCATCGTCTCGTTACTGCCCTCAGGAACGGAAATTTGCCTCGCCCTGGGCCTGGGGCCGCCCCGCTTGGCGGCCGTGTCCGCATTTTGTGACGATGTCGTCAGCAGCGGCGGCTGCAGCGGTGACAGCAGCGGCATCAACTGCGGCAGCGGAGCGGAGTTGGTTTCAGCGGCGCGAGCCGTCGGGGCGTCTCCGGTCGCCCACCTGCCCCGCGCCGTGAGGAGCCTGGTGGATACCTCGGCGATGACGAGCCGGCAGGTGGAGGAGCAGATGCAGCGGCTGAAAGCGCAAGGGCGCCCGCCCTTCGAGATCGACGTCGCCCTGCTGCGGCGCCTGCGGCCGGCGCTGGTGCTGTCTCAGGACGCGTGCGCGGCCTGCGACGCGACGGCCGCGCAGGCGTGCGCGGCGCTGCGCTCGGCCGGCATCGGCGCAGGCGGCTGCCGCGTGCTGTCGCTGTCGCCGCGGACGCTCGCCGAGGTGGCGGAGTGCATCGTCAGCGTCGGCGACGCGGCGGGCGCGGGCGGCGAGGCGCGGGCGCTCGTGGCGGACC